CTCGGATTTGGATTAATTCCAAACTTTGGTGGCTGCTGCCAGTTCCTTCAATTCCATCCAATTCTTGGGGAATGTTAGCCAGAGGCCATTGTGGGGGCCATTTAACCTGAGAGATTACTGTAACATCAGCTCCGGTATCAATAATCCCATTTAACACTACTTGCTGTTTTCCGCAGATAAGGGTACATTGACATACAGCTTGCTTTTGAGAAATAGATTGCACCCATAAAATTTGCGGGTTCCCTGTAGATCCAAACCCTCCCCGCCTTTGATGAGATTGGCTGGGAGCAGGGGAGTCCGTCCCTGCTGGAATCAATATTAATTGCGCTATACGGCTACCTTTTGGTATTGTGCAGGGAGGAAACGGGGTCCACGCCATAATCTTAATTTCATTAGTACTGTCAGAGTCAATTACCTCTGGTAGTACGAAAAGTCCTGACAATGTTGTAGATGATCTTCCCAACAATAGCGCTTGTGTTCTAGGTGATAAGGGTCCTGAGATATTTGTTGACAATAAGTGAATCGAGGGATCGAGTAACATTACTGTGTGGGAGGTTGCCAGGTCCAATCCGGTGCTACCGGCTGTTGCTGGACGAAGACTTGAGGCACTGCTGCTTCTCTCCGTGGGGGTTGGAATGTTGGCTGTGGCACTTGTGTCTGCGAGTGTCGCTGCCCTGCGCTCCGCGACTGGTTTCCCTGTATTGGTTGATCCTGGAAATCATACTTAGACCGACATTGATTAGCATAATGATGCCCTTTTCGGCATCTAGGACAAATCCCTGGGGCTTCATGCTTAGCGCCTGTATTCATAGCCAGGCAGTTCTTTTTTAAGTGACCTGGTTTGCCACAGCCGTAACAATTTCCCATGCCTGACGGACCACGCATGGCTGCAAAGGCAGCAGCCATAGCCTCAAATTTGTGATCCACAGTGCCGATTCTATTGCAGGCTTCTACCATTTCAATCAATGTGGGGTTTGGATTAGGGAGAGATTTCAATAGCTTTTTGCAATCCACATTAGCATTTTCCACAGCCAATTTCAATAACAATATTTCCCGCGCTTCCGTATTGTCTATCTGACGTTCTAAAGCATGTTTTAGTCTGTCAATAAATTGCATGTAGGGCTCACGGGGTCCTTGAGTAATAGTTGTAAAGGCTTTCTGCGGCTTTTGTGAGTCAGGGATTTTAAGAAAAGCCTTTTTCGCTTCTTCACGGACTGCTTCAAGAGCCTCCCGAGGAATATCCCGAGCTTGGGCTATCGGGTCAGAGTGCTGACCTGTACCAGTAAGGTGTTCTATGGTCAGCACGACCATAGCTGCATTGCCATGACCCACATAGGTGAGGAGGAGTGCCTGAAGCCCCCCCCTCGTTATTCCCACGAGTATTGAGTGGGAGTCAATAAGAGCTGCGCTAGAGACTTTAGATCATGAGGAGTCATAACATATGTGTCAAATACAGAAGACAACAGGCTCACAAAATAAGGGGAGGAAAGCCCGTGCTCGGTGACGGTACGACGCAGTTCCTTAATTACTGGAAAAGATAAGGCCTCCCACTGCGCCCCCCGCCCCTGATAAATCACGGGGGCCACTATTGTTTTAGCAATGTCCAGGTCTCCTTCCTTCAAGGCTTGGCGCCTTATGTTAACCCACACATCGTGTGGGTCAGGGGGGTATAGATCTGGCTCTTTTTCGGGGTCTACCAGCCCCAGATCAAAGGGGTCCTCCTCTGGGGGGTAACCCGCGTCACAGACCTCCAAGGGCTTAGGGGGGTTTTGGTCGTCCGACGGCAATGGAGGTACCGCAGGAGGGTTTCCTTCCCTCTCTGCTTTGTCTCTGTGACTTTTTTCCTGGGCTTTTAAAGTCTCAAAAATGCCTCTCCACCACGGGAGCATATGCTGCACTTCGGCATCCCCCGTCGTTGCCGCATCCCATAGCTTCACCCCCACATCATCCCAAAGTTCCCGCGTAAAAATATTAGATGCAGTCACAGCGGGTATTTTCACTTGTACCCATTTAAGGATCGCCTTGAGATCATGCTCAGGAACATTCTTTTCATGCTTTTTAAGGAGAGCTTTCATAAGCTCGTACAAGTCTCTCTCTGGGGAGGACACTTGATTTCCCATGTTTCCCACAGCTCACCTCTCTACTCCGGAGGGATTTCAGGCCGGCTCCTGCTTCCTTTCAGCAGCACATTCAACGTTCTGTGGGACTCGCAGCAGGCCACGCAGATAGGTGGTTCTTGAGCCCTGGTATCACATCCAATGTGATCACGTCGGGGTCACCAATTTGCCGCAATTGAGAGACGGGACACAGCTTGATGCAAGCAAAATGTCGATTTATTGTACACAACCACGCGTTTATATATGTTTTCATTAGCTGCGTGTTTCAAACTGATTGGTTCTTTTAGCTAAACATCGCCTGTTCGGTAACCCCTGATAGGTTAGTAACAAACAAGGGGCACTTCAAGTAAGTTTTCGCAATCAGCAGTTAAGCCTTCATTGTACAACTTTGTTACTTCTCGTTTGATACCGTCTGCTCCTCTTTTTGACATCTTATCTCGGTATGACTCATCAGTCAACATTCTGTCGGTGGTTTTCCATTAACCTCTTTGTCCTCCCAGGGTTTGTGGCCTACAAGTTCCAACACGTCCCCATCTATCAATTGGGCAGCACTTGGACTCTTGTCTTTCAGGCCTTGTCCCACACCCTCGGATGAATCTTATCAAGTCCCACGGGCTTGTGCACCTTCAGGTTCCTCAGCTGGTCTTGTACTTGGTCGTCTCCTACAGTTCTTCATTCTCCCAGTCCCTGCCTTTGCCTTCTGCGACTTGGGCAGTGTGGTTAGAGACCTTCCCAGTGAAGACTGAGGCAAAAAAGTCATTGAGTACCTCAGCCTTCTCCATGTCCTGGGTGACCAGGTCTCCTGTTTCCTTCCGGAGAGGTCCCACGTTTTCCTTAGTCTTCCTTTTATCACTGACATACCTATAGAAGCTTTTCTTGTTGCCCCTGATGTCCCTGGCCAGATTTACCCCTTTCTGAGCTTTAGCTTTCCTAACGTGATCCCTGGCTGCTCAGACAATTTCTCTGTATTCCTCCCAGGCTACCTGTCCTCGTTTCCACCCTCTGTAGGCTTCCTTTTTCTGTTTGAGATTGTCCAGGAGCTCCTTGTTCATCCATGCAGGCCTCCTGGCGTTTTTGCCTGACTTCCTCTTTGTTGGGATGCATCACTCTTGAGCTTGGCGGAGGTGGTCCTTGAATATTAGCCAGCTTCCTTGGCCCCCTCTTCCCTCCAGGGCTTTATCCCACTGTACTCTGCCAAGCAGATCCCTGAAGAGGCCAAAGTCTGCTCTCCTGAAGTCCAGGGTAGCAAGCTTGCTGTGCGTACCCCTCGCCACCCTAAGGATCTTGAAATCCACCATTTCATGGTCACTGCAGCCAAGGCTACCCTTGAGCTTGACATTCCCCACCAGTCCCTCCTTGTTGGTAAGGTCAAGGTCCAGCATAGCTCCTCTCCTTGTTGGCTCCTCTATTGCTTGGAGAAGGAAGTTATCATTGACCCATTCCAGGAACCTTCTGGATTGCTTATGCCATGCTGTGTTGTCCCTCCAACAGATATTGGGGTGGTTGAAGTCCCCCGTGAGGACCAGGGATTGTGAACGTGAGGCTGCTCCAATCTGTCTATAGAAGGCCTCATCCACTTGGTCTTCCTGGCTGGGTGGCCTGTAGCAGACCCCCACTGTAATGTTACCTGTCCCTGCCCTCTCTTTAATCCTGACCCATAAGCTTTTGCTTGGTCGGCTCTTCATCCATCCCCAGGCAGAGCTCCATGCACTCCAGCTGGTCATTGACATAGAGGGCGACACCCCCTCCTCATCTCCCCTGCCTGTCCTTCCTGAAGAGCCTGTATCCTTCCATTCCAACACCCCAGTCATAGGAGTCATCCCCACCACATCTCAGTCTGGAACATTCTTTTTCAAAAATATTTGCTAACAGTGAAGGGGTGCCAACAGTGAAACGCATGTTCTTTGTTTCTTTCTGCAGCCGAGAACACTTGCATGGACAAAGACCCTGTGAGCCTGTTTTCTTTACTCCAAGCCTGACTCTACCTCACTCTTCTCTCTCTTCTACCCTGGAACTTCATTTATTTCTGCAGTCTTTGTATGTTGTTGTTTTCCAGCTACTTACTTCAGTGCCAGCTGAAGGGAAGGAAGTACGCTCAAGTGTTCTGTGAAAATAGTATGTCTGCAGTCAAAGCAGTATTTTTAGCTGGAAGTTTTAAGATATTTTTATCTGCTATCACTCAAGTATTTTTTTGAAATGGCAAAATGGGAGAGTTTAGTTTAGCCAGGTAAATCTTACAATGCCAAGAACATATGAAAGCTGGTAAGGAAAAGTTGGCTAGTTGTACTGCATCTAGAACTGCAGTAAAAGGACAGTTTGTATTACACTTTCATCATATGATATTATTACGTAAATAGCTTTCCACCCAAAATTCTAGCACCAGACACTTATTGGGGCATGAATCTGTATGTGAATTTCACATAAAATTAAAATAAGAAAACTTTCAAATGCTGTACTGACTCATAAATTTTGTAGGTATCCTGTGTATGCACAACTCAAATGGCACACTGTTTCTTACAAATAAATAAATATCAGGTCTTCTTTTCATCTGAAGCTGATTTCTCATCTTTTACCTCTAACGTACATGTTGGGGTTTTTTTTAATTCAAATAGCAAGAAGCTACACTATGTGAAGCTATGATCTGAAATAGGCACTATACTTTGTCATATTTCTGTTGGTACTGTTTAACATACTGTATCTTTTGTTTCAGGTTTGTAACAGTGTGTTTAACAGCTGGGATCAATTCAAAGATCACTTGGTAATACACACAGGTGACAAACCCAACCACTGTACCTTATGTGATTTGTGGTTTATGCAAGGCAGTGAGCTGAGAAGGCATCTCAAAGACATGCACAATATTTCAGAACGAATAGTGACAGAAGAGGTTCTTCCAGTGGAAGCTGAACCAGTAACATCAATGACTATAATAGAACAAGTGGAGCAAGTCCATGTCCTACCAGTAATTCAGGTACAAGTGGATCCTGCACAGGTAACTGTGGAACAGATGCACCATGATCTCATACAGGACAGTCAAGTGAAAGGCACGCAGATGGAGGAACTGCAAGAACAGGTCCAAATTAGTTACTTGGAAGTTGAACACATTCAAACTGAACAAGGTGCTGAAGTTCATGTGGAGCAGTTACATGTTGAACATGTAAATCAAATACAGATGGAAGAAGTACAAGCAGAACTTATAGATGGAACGGACCTGGAACAAGTAGAATATGAAAGTGTTGATCAAGGAGAAGTAGAAGAAAAGGAAACTAGTCAAGTGGATGATGTAGATCAGGAAGATCATGAACAAGCTGAAGACTTAAAAACTCAATAATTAATGGACACACAAAATGAAAAAGTGGATAACTAGGACAAATAACCACACTGTGCAGGTTTAGGAATGAAAGTGTTTTTGCTAGCTTTTACATTGGTTTTTGAATCGTCAGTGGTCATCTTTCCAATATGCTGTTCTTAGGAAGCTGGACAAGTGGACCAAAGTTAGCTTTCTTCATGTACAACTAAACTTCTCTTATATGTGAAAAATAACTTTCCCATTCATGTAATATCATGGAACAGAAACTACCACAGAGATGGACAGCTTTGTGAGGATTTTAGTAATGAATAGCTTGTATCACTGTTACACCGTCCCTGGGGATACGTAAGAGTAACTTTACCTCTTTTCCTCTTGCCATAGAAGCAAACTCTTGTTATAGATTTGCAGGGTGTCTGTGGCAGAGGAATCAGTAAAATCTGGTGGGTTCTAATGTAAGTGGCCAATCGGTACCTGTGAATTTTCTGGGCAGACTGTTTGCTGTTTCCTAACAGCGGTCCCTAACTTTCAAGCTGGGGAAAAAACATTGTTGCTGGAGGTCTCGGAGCACAAAAATCCTGTGTCTTTTCAACACTGACTGGTTAAATTTCCACAAAGCTCCTAGAGTGTTCAAGAACCTAGTTCAGTAAAAGGCAATGTGGGTAATGTTATAGTGCTTTATATTTTTGCTTAAAATTGTCAGCTACTGATTTTTATTCTTTTTTTCCCATTAAATGTAGGGGCAGGGTGAGGGAGGAAACAGATTCCGTGTGGATGCAGCAGGGCACTTTAAAAGGGATGCTTTAAATTAGGAAAAGCTCAGCAGAGTCTGTGGTAAACATCAGCTGGAAGAAAGCTACCAGCAGACTCTTCTTTTATAAATCGTCATTTTTGAAAACGAGTATTTTTAAACATAAATATAGAGAAGACTTGTCTATCTGGTATCAGGTTCCTGTTTTTTTGAAATGAAATTCTGATACTCGACACAAAGATGATGTGCTAAAAGTAAAAGCCATAGGTATGAGTGCTAAAAGGTGGATTGAAAAGTAGGAGTGTAAATATTTTAATCAATATTAGACAATAAAGCAATACCAGCCATGAAATATTGCATTATTTGCTTCTTCCAATAAATTAGGAACAACTGAGTGACTGGCAATTACAATGTCAGATCCCAGTGGCAAGAATCAATCTCACTTTAATAAGATTAATAGCTCATTACTGTAAAGTTTGTTTCGAAAATACTTGTCTAGCTCTATGTTTAAGGATGATAAGGACTTCTAGTTCTCAATTATTGCCTTGAGATTAGAGGTGCCTCCATACTTCTGGAAAACTTTCTTTTCAAAGCCTTAACTAAAGGGAGGAATTTTTGCAAGGACGTTCCCCGATGCTCTTGGTAATCCTGTAGATCTTAGTTAAAATCGGGCTTTTCTATTCCGTCTTCTCCAAATGCAGAATTATTTCCTGAGATTTGTGCTTTTATTTAGTCTCATTCAAAATGATTCTTGTGTTTCATCGTAGCGTAGCCTTTGAGAAATTGTTGCAAAACAAACATGGATCTCAATTAAAATTTCAAACAATTTGATTAACGTAACTAGCATTCTTTTTTTATGATGTTTTGTGTTTTCTGAGATGCAAGTAATACGTGATGAGATTCTGTGCAGAGGGAAGAATGTGGCCCAATGTTAATCATGAAAGTAAAAGTTGACTATTGTATTTATACCCAGCTTCTGATAAGAAGCCTGTGTTTTGATAACGCACAGAGGACAGGCCTGCTTGCTTAGCTGCATAACCCTAATTTTTTAGGTATTTGTGCATATAGACACATGGTCTGTATCTGTGGAATTAAAGGAACAATCTGGCTGTGTGTCTAACCAATGAAACTAACTTTTAGGTAATTTAAGGTCCAATGTAAATTGAGAAGGTACATGGTATTGGTAACAGGGCCATGGTTTGGTAAGCACAGTTGGGCTGTTTTTTTGTTCTGTTTGATCTCCCCTTTTCAACAACAGCTTGTGAATTTGGTAGGAGAGAAAAAATGCTCTGTTGTTGTGGCCAGCGCTGCCCCATCCAGACTCCTGCTGAGCCTGGGTGGGAGTGTGGTGGGGGCATGAGCGATCCCCTTCTCACCCTGAGGGACAGGGTGAAAGGCTCTCCTGAAGTAATAACTCCACTGGAAAGCGTTTCCCTTTGCAACCCCCTCTTCCCTAGAATTTCCTTCCCAAATGTCTAAAGCCCAAATTGCTTCCACTGGTGGAGTCCCCCATGCCTCCTTACTGCAGCAGCTGATACCGGGGGAGGGACGATTGACTTGGAGAGTCAGAAGTTCTGGTTGCTCTCTGTAACAGCCACCTTGCCATCCTCTTTCTGCCCCAAATGTCTGTATAGACACACAGACCTCTCCAGACTTTATATTACCTATGCACCATTGGAGGAGTTCTTCCCTCTAAATAAGTATATACTGCTGGTCCCCAGAGCACCCTGTGTTATGCATGTACTGGTCTGTAGCTTGCGATGGGGCAGCATGCAGCTGCGCTTGTTGCCTAGGGCCTGTGGTGAATGCTTGAATTTCTGCTGAATGAAACTAAATGGCTAAAGCAGTGGGGTCTAGGAAAAGTGGAAATGAACAAAAGCCTGAGGTGTGTCTGGATACAAAATAAAAAGTGAGCATTAAATTGAGACTGAGGTTAGGGGTGGACTTGTAGATTTATATATAATATTCATGAGAGTCCACAAGCTATTTCTGAAAGAATCATAGAATGGTTTAGGTTGGAAGGGACCTTGAAGATCATTTCGTTCCAACCCCCCTGCCCTGGGCAGGGACACCTCCCACCAGCCCAGGTTGCTCCACGCCCCATCCAACCTGGCCTTGAACCCCTCCAGGGATGGGGCAACCACAGCTTCTCTGGACAACCTGCGCCAGGGGCTCACCACCCTCAGTGAAAAACATCTTCCTAATATTTAATCTAAATCTCCCCTCTTCCAGTTTGAAGCCATTCCCCCTCGTCCTATCACTACATGCCCTTGTAAAAAGTCCCTCTCCAGCTGTCCTGTAGGCCTCCTTTAGGTACTGGAAGGCTGCTATAAGGTCTCCCCGGAGCCTTCTCTTCTCCAGGCTGAACAGCCCCAACTCTCTCAGCCTTCCAATCAGGTGTTCCATCCCTCTGATCATCTTTGTGGCCCTCCTCTGGACTTGCTCCAACAGGTCCATGTCCTTCTTATGTTGGGGGATCCAGAGCTCGATGCAGTACTCCAGGTGGGGTCTCACGAGAGCGGAGTAGAGGGGCAGAATCACCTCCCTTGACCTGCTGGCCACACTTCTTCTGATGCAGCCAAGGATACGGTTGGCCTTCTGAGCTGCGAGCGCGCATTGCTGGCCCACGTTGAGCTTCTCATCAACCAACACCCCCAAGTCCTTCTCCTCAGGGCTGCTCTCAATCCGTTCTCCGCCCAGCCTGTATTTGTGCTTGGGATTGCCCCGACCCATGTGCAGGACCTTGCACTTGGCCTTGTTGAACCTCATGAGGTTGGCATGGGCCCACCTCTCCAGCTTGTCCACGTCCCTCTGGATAGCATCCCTCCCCTCCAGCGTGTCTACCTCGCCAAACAGCTTGGTATCATCGGCAAACTTGCTGAGGGTGCACTCGACCCCACTGTCCATGTCTCCGACAAAGATGTTGAACAGCACGGGTCCCAGTACCGACCCCTGAGGAACACAACTTGTCACTGGTCTCCACTTGGACATCGAGCCGTTGACCGCAACTCTTTGAGTGCAACCGTCCAGCCAGTTCTTTACCCACTGAGTGGTCCATCTGTTGAATCCGTGTCTCTCCAATTTAGAGATCAGGATATCGTGTGGGACAGTGTCAAACGCTTTGCACAAGTCCAGGTAAATGACATCCGTTGATCTTCCCTTGTCCACTGCCGCTGTAACCCCTTCGTAGAAGGCCACCAAATTTGTCAGGCATGACTTGCCCTTGGTGAAGCCATGCTGGCTGCTACCAATCACCTCCTTGTTTTCTATGTGCCTTAGCAGAGTTTCCAGGAGGATCTTCAAGAGTGGTGCTGTGTGAGTGGACTCGCCTGAGGTGCCTAAACTAAACTACAGTGCCAACTCATAACTCACTCATAACTAAACTACTATAATGTAATATTAAAAATAAAATAAAAAGAAAAGAATGAAATATATACAAAACTATCAAGCTCCCAAGGCGACAATCACGTCACCAGCTGGCACTGTAGTTTAGTTCCTTTCAAACTCATAAGTCATATGAACAGATTACACTATATAAGTAATAATACCCCAATCCAGAAAACACTAAAGCGTGTCCTGGCTTCTTCCATGGAATTATTCATATGCTTCTTATGTTAAACACAGTATGGGATTTCTTAGGCTGAAAATATTTTGGCTTTAGGCTCCAATTAGCCCTAGCATAAGAAGAGGGTGTCAGATAAAATACATGCGTCTTTCAAATAATCTGCATTTAAATAACAATTTAAAAACATCCACATTGGCACTCTCTCTTGTTTACTCAGTTTTAACAGCAAAAAACCCTCACCTCTGTGTAATTCATCTGTGAGCCCCTCAGGCGAGTCCACCCACACAGCACCACTCTTGCAGCCTGGCTCCTGAAAGCAGGTGGGTTTCTCTATTTCTGAGACTCCACACGTCTGTCATCCTGTATTGAGGCCTGGTCCCAATCTGACAACTGAGTGAATGCCACATCACTTGTTCCTACCCTAAAAGGGTATTACGATAGATGGAACTCACAGTTTTCAACTAAAGAAATTCAATAGACCTTTTAGAGGAATAGTTCACAGCTTTAGAGAATTATATTTGTGTGTATATATCTAAGAAGACAAATATAACAATAGCTTGAGTGTGACATATTTATGGTATGAAATAAGGGGTGGAATGTCCCGGTTTGAGACACACAGGAATAATTTATCTTCTAATAGTTGGGAATATTGCACTTTCAGAAGACTCTAGTATCTAAATTTGTGAAAATATTTACTTTTTAGCCAGCTATGGTGTGTGGATTTCAAGATCTCAGTGTTTTTCGAGCTCGCCA